GCCGGAGTGATGACACAGTCAGCTGCTCTCCAAACCGTAGGCGACGTCATCTCAGAGTGGACCACAGACATAGATGGACAAGCTGAAAGTAGAAAACTCTAGAAGGTAACACAGATCTTTTCAACATTGGGGTAGCCAAGGCACAAAAAGCATTAACCATACATGATAAAATAGTAAGTTAGCCTTTAGAAAAATGGAAACCTTTGACTCCATTCTTCCAGTGAAAGGCAAGGCGAAGACGGGAGGAATGCCCGTGCGTGTGCACATATATATCCATGTATGTGCACACACCGGGATATCCACATGTGTGTATAGTATGTGCATACACATATGCACACATACTCACACATGCATGTATACCTATATGACATAAGTACACACATACTCATTTGACAAAGAATATATGCAGAACATTTTATTAAAACTCCTCCAGCTCAATAATAAGAATTCAAAAAGCCCAATAAAAAATTCCCAAAGACTTAAACTGGAAAAACAGAAGAGCTAAAAAGGACACACGAAGAGGTTAGACACCACTCGTCACTAGGAAAACGCAGAATCACGACGAGGCCGCGCTGCAGAGCCACCGGGACGGCCAGGCTGGAAGGGGCGGGCACTTCCCAGCGCCGGCCCGGACGTGGGGCACCCGGGGCTCCCACGTGTGGGAGGGAGGCAGGCTGCTGCGGGCACTTCGGCGGCGGTGTGGCAGCTTCTCTTGACGTCAGTAGCCAGCATTCCACACACTGCAGCCATTGTTTCCGCCTGCATTACCCAAGAGAAAGGAGACACGCGCACGCGAGGACCCACACACAAATACAGCAGCAGGAGCATCTGTCACGGCGCCAGGCTGGAAGCAACCCCGGCGTCCGTCGACAGGTGAGTGATGAGCTCGCTCGGGCCACCCACACCGTCGCGGGACACGTCCCAGCAGCAAGGGGGACTGAGCCGGCGGCGCATGCAACACCTGGCAAGTCTCCGCCTAATTACGCCAGCGGGATGATGCCAGACATGTATGACCGTTCGTGGAAAATTCTAGGAAATGAGAACTAATCCCTGGTAACAAAAAGCAGGCATCGGCTGCCTGGTGCCAGGACAGCAGGCGGGGTCCTCCACAAAGGGCAGGGAGACCTGGGTGACCGAGACGTCCTGTGTGGCGTTCACACAGGTCTGTACGCTGTCAAAGCCCATTGCACTAGCCCCTTACGACAGGTGCACTTTACTGTAAAGTGCATCTTACGACAGGTGGGCTACAGCGTGGCAAGCTGACCTGCTCTGTGGGTACCAATTTCCGAGGGGGGCTCCCATGCCCTCGCCCCTCACAGCCTTCCATCCTCAGTCCAGTGGGGCCGGGAGCCTGGGCCTCGCACTGCACCCCTCGCCTGCTGGAAGTCTCGGGTTTAACGACAGCAGCAAAACCCCAAAGCCTGCCTGGGAGCCAGTGTGTGCACGTCAGCCCAGCATGGGCTTTCACCGAGAAAGGGCGTTGGAGCGCCCTGGCCACCTGGGCTTTCTGAGTAATGCTCAGGTCCTCTCCGGGGAGTGAAATAATGATCATCGAAGGGGAGTGAGTCAGATGAGACCCCGGGAGTTCCCCGAGGAGGGGAGCTGCACATGCCCTCCCCCGCCCTCGCTCCCCCCTCCCCTCCCCTCCCCTCCCCCTCCCCTCCCCTCCCCTCCCTTCCCCTCCCCTTCCCTCCCCTCCCAGCTACACAACCCCTCCAGGGGCCCAGTTCCAGGCCCCTTGGTTTCCTGTTCTCTTCACTCAGCCTGGACACTAGTCCACAGAGCCAGACCTTGAAAAACCCAGGGGACCCACAGAGGACTCTCCACCCTGCACATGCTTTTTGGGGACCCTCCGCCAAGATCAAAAAGGTCGCGCCACAGGACAGCCACGTGCACCCTGCCCCGACCGCAGAAACACCCTGGTGTGATTATTCTGGAAGGAAACCCAACAGGCCACCTCTTTTTCTTCCGCCCCGAACAAGTCAGTTCCTCTTCAGCCAGATTCGGTTCCTGCCTCCCAGTGAGAGGGGCCTCGTCCCCACCAGGAACTTCCCCCTGAAGCGCCCCAGCCACACTGACCCGGGGCCCCGCCCCCGCTGCAGCTGCCCCATCTCCGGGCAACCAGAAGGACTTCCTCCTGAAAGCAGGTCACACACACGAGCACGCGGGCCCCCTCGCCCCACAGCGAAAGCGCCACCAGCTCTGGGCGACAGGAACACACGGATGAACTGGGGGCAGCTTTCGGTGAAGGTCTCCCACCCCCCGTAGCAGGAGTCAGCACTTGGAACTCCAGCATCGAGATGCGTGACCTGGTCCCCGGACGCTTCCTCCCCTGTGGGCGTCTGCCCTGCTGGGCGGCTGCGATGACACCGGGGTCACTGCTGTGCTCGTGGCACACTCACTGTGTGCCAGGAGCCCTAAGCGGCTCCTGGGGGGGTCTGTTCTCACAACCCTAAGAAGTAGACTGCATTGTCACGTGTGCCACCTTGAAAACGATGACGGTGGGGCACTGTCCACTGTTGCAGGACCAGGAAGCTGCAGAGGGGGTTGAACCCAGCTGTGTCTCACATCAAGAACCCCTTCTCAGGCCACATGCTCCCCTCTCTGTGGGGGGTCCGTCGGGGCCAGCTCCGCCTTGTATTAGCAAGGACTGAAGCAGCCACTCGGTCTGCAGCAGTCACCGCTCCAAGCTACACCTAGACTCTCCCCAGGGGGAAAGGAGGAGAAAACTGCAGAAGCCCCAAGTGCCGTCACGTACGGTCCCGTGCTGAGGGAGGTGCCGGAGCGTGCTCCGCCGTGCCACACCCCGACAGGAACAGACACATCCACAGTGTCAACATCTTGTGAAACGCCCAGCAGGTGCGGTCGTCCACGGCACAGAGACGGTGGCCGGGCGAGACGCAGGTGGTGGGGGCCAGGGAGGGGGTCCCTGAACCCACGGCCAGCCCCACCGAGTCCCACGGCTGCACTGAATCCCATGCCGTGGGGGCCACCTCTTCACCTGCTGGCTGTGAACCGGCTGGTGAGCAGCCTTCCCGGAGCCTGGGGCTGCGTCCTACTCCCACGAGGGCCCCCAGAGGCTCCCTGAGCGGGGTTACATTTCCCACCCGGGAAACCTACATGACATTAATAGCCATGATAACAATGACCACAATGCATCACAAGTCCCAGAAGGACCAGCCGAGCGGGTGAGCACAGCAGTCCCTTGGCCACTGGCTGTGTGGGGAGCTGCACATGTGCCCGGTAGAGCTCGGGGCTGTTGGGGCACGGTGCGACGGGATGGGCCCCCCAGGGGAGGACCGCCCACCCACCCGAGGGGCCGAGCCCCACACCAGTCCTCCCCGGCTGACGAGGCTCCACGTCGCCAACACGGAACTGAGAGCACCTTTTAGTCTTCCCACAGCGAGCAGAGGCTGGGCCGCCGCCCTCCAGGCCCCGGTGACCCAGAGGCTGAGAGCGCCGTGTGGGCCTCCCAAGAGCCCAGCACGGGCGTCTGCGGGTCTGCGGGGTCCGGGAGCTCTCCTGGGGCTGCGTGATCTGGTGCTCCTGCCCCTCGGGGGCTGGGAGCCACAGCCCAGACGTCGGATGTTCTCAGCCCAGCGGAGCCCATGGACGGCGCTCCCAGGAAAGCAGGAGGCATCCGCGAGGTCTCCCCCTACCCCGGGACTGGGAGGCCCCACCGGCCTCTCCTCTCAGACCCGCCGGCTGCACGGAAGCTCCACACACACAGGCCGTGGGAACGCGCTCTGAGCTTCCACGGATTCCCCGAGGATCTGACGCTACAGTCACCCAGAGCCCGGCTCTCCGTGAGGAAGCCACTGTCCTTCCCTGGGTGTCTCGTCTGCCCCGAAAGAACCTTCTTCCTTCGTTTGGTGGTGAAACACACGTAACACGGGACTCGCCGTCTCAACCGTTTCTAAGTGTGCAGCTCTGTGGCATCAGGCACATTACGTTGTTGGGCCACCACCACCACCACCGTCCGTCCCCAGAACTCGGGCGTCTCCCCAAACAGGAACTCTGTGCACTGTCTGTCTCCAAGGATCTGCCTCCTCCAGGGGCCGCACGCGAGTGGGGCCCCACCGTGCCTGCCCCTTCGTGCCTGCCACGCTTCCTCAGCACGATGTCGTGCGGGCTCACCCACAGGGCAGGGGTCAGAACCTCCCTTTTAAGGCCGAGTCACATCCCAGTGTACAGATGGGTCTCCTTTGCTTGGGTGGACGCTGGGGCTGCTCCTGCCCGTGGCTGCCGTCCTGCCGTGAACTGTGCACAGGTGTTGTGACTACTCGCATCCCTGCTTCCGGTCCCTCCGTGTCTACGCCCAGCCGTGGGGCTGCCGGACCCCGAGGCGACTCCGCCGGGCTTGCGCAGGAGCAGCCCGCCCCGCCTGCACCAGTCGTGCGCCTGGGCCCCAATCCCTCCACCTCGCCAACACTTCCTGTGCGCGTTTCTGATAACGACGACCGTCCTGACGGGCGAGGAGTGGAGAACTGTGACCACGGAACAGTGACAGCACCAACAGGGCCCGCTGCTCACTGGGCAGCCGCGCCTGCCCCGGGGCGGGAAGGGGCAAAGCCAATGCGAAGTGACCAGGAGAGTTTGGTCGCCCCAGTCTCCCAAATCCCTGAGATTCAGAGGACATTATGAGGGAAGGAGCGAAGGGCGAGCGGTGCCCTGGGAGGGGCCTGAGCACCAGCAAGGCTGGGTGCGCGCCCTGGGACGCAGCTTCAGACCACGCTGCCCGCGCCCTTCCTGAGCCCTGTGCGCCCACCACCACTGCCAGGCGAGGGCAGTGGGGTCTGCAGCCTGGTGGCGGCCGGCTCTTTGTGGCCAGGCCGAATGCAGGGGTTGGCACCAGCCCTCTCCTTTCAGACCTGGAGTGTCCGTGAGCCCGGAGGGCTGGGCCTCTGAGAAGTGACTAGGAAGGGAGGCGTTCCCACCGGGACCCGAGTGAAAAAGTCAGGGTTTTTTCCCCAAATATTTGAGTGAAAAAGTCAGGGTTCTTCCCCAAATATTTTATTTAAATATTAAATTAAAAAACATACATCCACTAATCATTTGGCATACATTTGTCATTGCTAACATAAGAAACAAAATAATTCAGTTGTGGTAAAAAAAAAACAAACTGTATACATTTTAATCAGATCGCTTAGTGCCTTCCACCAGGCCGCCGCATTCATGCGAGAACGACGAGGCTGAGGAACCTGCAACACGCACGTAACACACACGTCACACACACGGAGAAACAAGACACACAGCCTGACTGACAGCAACGAGAGGAGAGAAAACCACCACGTGAAAGTAAAGTGCTTGTTGTGGTTCGGAGGCCTTTGATCTCTGGCGTGACGACAGACAGGAACTTCACAAGGGGGACGGGTTCTGTGCTGGGACCCCCGTGCTACCTCCGTGCGGGGGCGAGGGCCGCAGCGGCGCCACGCCGCCAGGTCCCCTCCCAGTCCCCAGCCTCTCTGACACGTCAGCAGGCGGCTTCGGAGATTCCTGGCAGCCCAGGGCAAGGCCAGGCCTCCCTCGGGAGCAGCAGGAGCAGCGGCGGGAGGGACAGCAGCAGCGAGCCAGGCAGACGCAGATGCAGGGTGGCCGGCTGGGCGGCCGCCACCCCACCCTCCAGGAACGCCAGGGATCTTTGGCTTTTACAGGTGCCCCCCTCCCCTGCCGTCACCACCTGTTTGACACTGAGGGTGTGAGAGCCAAGGGAGCTGAAGGCACCTGGGGTGCAGGACGGGGTGGGCCGGGCGGAGGGAGCACGCGGCAGCCACCCTCCCTCCACTGCAGGGGCCGCTGGCTGGCCCGCCGAGCCGCCACCTGAGGCCGCCTGCCAGGTGCGGGCAACTGCGCCTCCCTCCTCCACACGGGCCTGGTGTAGCACTTTGTAACGTTGCCAGAGGGGAACTTAAACCAGGAACACAACGGTGTAGTAAAAAATATAAAAAATAAGTAGTGTCTATCTGTCTTATTTATACACATGTACAGTATCTGCTTACAAAGGAACAAAGCTGAACAACACTGACCCGACCTCTCATTCCACCTTCTTGAGCAAAAGCCTAGCAGGCGCGGGCCTGGGGAAGGCGGGCCCTCCACCGGCAGGGACCCATGCCCGGCCTGGCCTCGTCGTATTGCACGCCCCACCCCGTCAGTTGTTCGTTTTGGACCCTGATAATGAAATGCATAAAACGTAATTAGCAGCGGAAAGATGTGCGGCAGGAGGTAACTTCCCTGGCAGGCCCCCGGGCCCGGTGCCGAGCCAGAGCCCGCCCCGCAGCCGGCCCGCCCCTGCGAGGCTCCCCCTTGCAGCTCGGAGTAAGAGTCCCGGAACTGACCCTTGAGCAGTTTACAAAACTCCTCAGTTAAAAAAAGAAAAAGTGATCCTCTGTTTACTGACTTCAGGGGAGAGAATTCCAAGATTTCGTGGATTATCTTCTCCTGGGCCGGCCCTTAGAGCTTTTTGAAAACTGATACATAAAGCACAAAGTTCACAGCTTTCGTCTGAAGCGTAAATGTGTCAGGAAGTGGAGAACTGTTACTTTAAAAGAAGGATGCCACTGAACACGGCACGCACGCACACGCGGTGGAGATGCCACACTCACTCCCGAGGCACACGGCTCACACCACGGCTCCGTGCAAGGCCATGGCCTCCGTGCCCCACAGCGCCCGCGGACGAGGGAGCCGCCGGCCCCTCCAGCCGCCGGGCCGGCCCGGCGAGCAGAGCCGGCCCTGCCCTCTGTCCCACCTCACTTCCCTCCTTCCCTCAGGTCCACCCGCCCCCACGACACACCCTCAATTATTATTTTTCTTCAGAAACTTTCCAGTCCCTACTCATGGCAGCAGTTGCTCAGTGCAAGGAGAAAATAAAACAAAAAAATAAACTAAAAAGCCAAAACACCAAACGTATTGCTTGTTTCGCTTCTAAGAAGTCATTGGCTTGGAGTCCAGAATCGCCTTCACATACTGAGGTTATTGCTTCGAGGAGTCGCAGCCCGTGTGGGAGGAGGGTGGGGGCGGCGCCCTCACTGCACCAGGACGAACGTGCCCCGCTGGCCCGAGGTCAGGTCCTCCATCTCACAGTCCCCGCGTGGCAGCCCCACGGGGTCGAAACCCGGGGGCAGCACGGCGAAGTGCGGCTGCAGGGGCGCGGCGGCAGGCAGGGGCGCTGTGGCGGCGCTGATGTGCAGGTGGGTGTCCAGGAGCTGGGCTGTGGAGGCCACCGGGGACACCCCGGCCTGGAGGAGGTGGGGCGGCAGCAGCGGGCCGGGCCCCAGCCCCAGCTCCTTCTGGAGTCCCGACACAAGGAGGGCGCTGTCACAGGGGGCCAGGACCAGGGGGGCCAGGGGCAGGTGGGGCGCCTGCTGGCAGCTGGGCAGGGCTGCTGGGTGGTGCTGTAACTGCAGCAACCTGGGGGACATGAGGAAACAGGGAGGGGGACAGGTCACCACCGGCTCCGGGCGCTGCCCCTCCTGACAAGTCCCACCGGCCGGGCTCGCACACCGGCAGGTTTCCGCCCCGAACATGCAGTGCCGTGCGTGACTAATCCCCTGAGCAATTCCTGACATTTCCATTCTCTGTCGCACTTCTACAGCAGCTCAGAGATGCCAACCAGACGTGACATTTTTATTCACTGCCCCCCTCCACCCCCCACTTCCAGGCTTCGAAGTGACAAAACCTGGCTGCTCCCCACCTCTGCCACCATCTGCGGGAAGCAGGCCCCCAGGTTGTCCCCCCCCCCCCCCCGACTCAGGAGTAGGGAGGCACACTCATGGATGACAAGGAGAAGGGGGAGCTCAGGAAACGCCGGCGAACGAGAGCGCCACCAAGGTCACGGGGGCCCGGCGTGGGGCGGGCCTACCTTTGCTGGTGCAGCACTTCCTCCAGCAGGCTTCTGCCCTCCCGGCCGCCGGCCCCGCTGCCGTGCAGGCCCGGGCTCTGTGTGGGCAGCGGGAAGGCGCTCAGGCCGCCCCGCGTGGCCCGGCTCGAGGAGGGCTGGCACACCTGGCGAGCCAGCCCCTTGATCTTGTTCAGGCCCAGGAACCCTTTGGTCCTCGCGTTCTTCCTCAGCTGCTGCCGGAAGGCTTTCAGGCCTGGGGAGAAGCCAGTGGAGACGGGTTACGGGCCTCTGCTCCCAGCCCAGGACCAGCAGCGCATGGCTGGCGGGGGTTCCCAGACGGTGGGAGGGAGGGAGGAGGGATGGGCAACACGGGAGTGAGGGATGAAAGGACCGGCGTGCTTTCCTACGGCCGCTGGCGCCGAGGGTGCTCTCTGCTCGTCTAGTCACTTCCCGCGCCCCCTCCCACACCTCAGCGCCCTGCGGGGCTGGGAAGCCATCTTTTGGGGGTAGTCTGAGGCCTCAGGTCCCACACCGAAAAGGCCTGCATCTGGGTCCTTCGTGGAAGAAGGGCATGAGCAGTGCCGCGGGACTCGGGAGGGGGCCCGGGGCCCCCAAGCCCTGGGTGGCATGGAGGGAGCCCAGGCAGCCAGGCGTGGAGGGTCCCCCCCAACCCCGGCCCCGGCCCCCCTCCAGGTCAGGAGCTGCTGCCCGGCATCCAAGAGTCTCCTGAACTTTTAAGACCAGACACCAGAGGCCCAGCGACTTTGTCCCGGGACACCAGGCCACCCACCCAGAATCGGGGCGGCACCTTCGATCTGCCCGGGGAGGGCTGCTGCTCCGCCCAGGCCTGGCTAGAGATCGAGGGAACCTCTGCCACCCAGGACAAAGTGATCCCCGCCAGGGCCGCACACAGCACCTCCTGGGGAAGGCGGGAAGGAGAGTGGAAAGGGGAGTCACCTTGAGTGAGCGAGGTGTCCGAAGCCCTCCGGCCCTCCTGGAAGCTGACCGGGAGCAGGGCAACGCCGCCCAGGGCCCCCTGGGCCTGCAGCACCGGGGTGGCAGACTGGGTGCCCAGCAGCGGTGAGGCCAGTTTGAGTGGGGAGCAGGTGCCCACCAGCCCGTGGGCAGCCAGGCGTCCACTGAGTCCCGCCGGGCTGTCCCCCACCGAGAAGGTCAGGCAGCTGTCGGAGCTGGTGCCTTCTGCAGGGCTCGCCGCGGAGGAGGAGACGACGATGCCTGCGGGAGGAGCACGGTGCTCTGGAGGGGTCCCGCGCTGCCCAAGGCCAACGCAACCCCCGGGAGCCCCGCTGCAGCTACTCCCAGGCCCCGGCCAGCCCTCTTGGCCCACTGATAGGGGCGGCCAGCTGGCCTGGCCTCACCACCTCTCTCCTCAACCTTGGGGGGTGGGTGTCTAAGACAGCCCGCCAGCACAGGGGTCCCAGCTGCAGCTGATTGGTGGGGCTGACCAAGGACACAAAAGGTCAGGGGCGAGGACCTGCCTCCCAGCACCTGGGGGAAGCTAAATCCCACGTTGTCCCACCACTGAGCGACCACATGGAGTGTGTGTGACCTTGGTGGCCTCCAGGGTTAAACCAGGGACAGATCTGAGAACTGTAGCCAGAGGCGGCCCAGCAGAAAAGGGGCGTTTTTATATCAGCCCCTCGTAGTCCCAACCGCAAACCCGTCCACCAGGCTGGGCTCCCATCCACTTACATGGAGGGGCGCATGGGGAGAGGGTGGACACCTCGGCCAGCGTGTGCCTGCGGCCTGTGCTGCCAGGCAGGGGCCTCTGCGCCTCCGGCTCCTCCTTCAAGCCCTGGCCCTGCCGGACCTCCTCGCCGACGGCCATGCCCAGTGGGCTGCCGGGAGACACAGAGCGCTGCCGGAACACGCTGTTGCAGGTGGCGTCCGCAGGGAAGAGCAAGGGCTGCGTGGGACGGACATAAACCGGTGACCCTGCGGCTCCGTGTGACCTGGTGTGGGGGCCGTCACCACCGCCACCGGGAAGGAGACAAGCCCCGCCCCAGTGCCGCCCGGCACAGACACTCACACACCTGGAGCGAGCCGTGGAGGTCACAGTCCATTTCGGCCTGCAGGACAGACGGCCCCAAGGCCTGGGGCTGCGGGCACAGCAGGGAGGACCGGAACGCGTCACTGGGGAGGACTTCCTGAGGCACCTGTGAGCCAGCATGGGAGGGCAGACGCCGTCAGAAAAGTGGCTCCGTAAGCCTCGCAAGAAAGACCCGGCTGGCCTTGCGCTGGCAACCAACACCCACCACCGGCCACCCTGGCTCCTCCTTCCTCCCGAGGCTGCCCTGTGTGGGAGGGACCACAGGTGGGGCCTGACCCCCAAAGAGTGACCAGCACCCCCAATTCTCCATGCATCCTGTGGTCCAGTGCTCACAGGGGAACCCCTTCTCTCTGACCCAGGGCTTAATGGGTGGGGGGACAGAAAGAGGGATAGGAGCTCAGGCTGCATCTCGCTCCTAGTCCCATGTGAGCAAGGGATTTCTCTGACCCAGGGGACAGAGGGGTGGGGCTTTAGACCCCCCGGCTCACCTCCAAACCGCTGTGATCGGAACTCCTGGGCCTCGGCTGCCGGGCCGGGCAGGGCCGGGCCAGGGGCGGGCTGCTGCGGTACTCCTTCAGCCGCTCCAGGAGGAGGTAATAAATGGCCGCGAAGTGGTTGTAGCTGCTGTTCTGCAGTGACTGGGGGAGGCGGAGAAGCAGGTCAGGGCCGGGCCAGAGGAGCGGACAGGGGCCCCACAGGGCTCCCATGTGCGGGCAGCACCTTGGGATGTCTCAGGTCACTCCCTGACAAGGCCGTTCCCAGGGTTATTCTTGGGTGGACCAGAATATCCTTTAGAAGAGTGGACAAGCTGGCCCTTAAATTAGCCCGTGCTCCCGTTTTAACTCGGCCGGTGAGTGACGCCTCTCCTGACACAGTGGCCCCCGCCCCCCAGAACAAGCACCGCTCCAGGTGAAGCCCCGCTGGGGGCGGGACGCAGCGCGGCGGCACTCACCTCCACGGTCCTCTGCCGGTCCACGCCGAGGGTCTGCATGATGCCCAGCACCTGCTCGTCGTAGTCGCCCAGGTTGGAGTTGTAGCTGAGCGCGGCGCTGGCGGGGCTCGCGCGGGGCAGCGTGGGGTCGGCCTGCATCCACCTGTGCTGCCGGATCTGGGCGATGCTGATGCGCTTGGCGGGGTCCACCACCAGCATGCGGCGGATCAGCGTCTCGCAGTCTGCGGGGCAAGGGCGGCGCACTGAGCACACGCACGCCGGCTGCTGTGCGCACGGCCCCGCCTCCTGCTGCTGAAGGGAACAGGCTCCCTTCATGCCGGCAGAGGGACACGTGACCACTCTAAAGAACAGCGAGGCCGGGAGTGCTGGCTTGTGCCATGGGCCCTGACCGACCACCAAACAGAGCCCCCACTGAGGGACGGGCCTCTGAGGGGGCGCAGTCCTCCTGATGTCCCTACGGAGGTCACTCAGACTCCCCATTCTGCCGAGACCACATGTTTACAGGTCACGGCAGGTCACATGTTTACGGGATGGAAAAGAAGAGCATGCGTGTGGAGCAGGTGAGACGCCGGGGGCGCTCGGGGGGGGACTCCCGACACCAGGCCTTCAGCTGGCCCACCAGGGGACACCCCCGGAGGCAGGCACCTGCCCGTCCCCTAAGCAGGGCACTGCAAGCACACCCGTGGGTGGGGTCTCTCTGGCAGGTAAACACCCTGTGGTGACGCGGGCCTGACTCACAGACCCAGAAGACAGTCTAGCAGGCCTTGCAGGAAATCCAACCCTCCACCGCCTCCCAAACTGCCCGCGGCAGGCTGCCACCCGGCCCCACCCACCAGCCCGCCCGCCCGCCCGCCCGCCAAGGAGAGGGCCCAGCGCACCCACCTCGAGACATGAAGAAGGGGATGCGGAACCGGCCCTCGAGCACCCGCTGCCGCAGCGCGGGCAGGCTGGGCCCGTCGAAGGGCAGAGAGCCACAGACGAGGACGTACAGCACGACACCAAGGCTCTGCAAACAACCAGATGGCATGGTCAGCACCAGTGCGCTCTTACTGGCTGGCGCCTAGCCAGTCCCGACACCCGATGGGGGCTGTGCGCGGGGCTCCTACCCAGACGTCCAGCTGGGGACCTTCGTACTCCTTCCCCTCAAAGACTTCCGGGGCAGCGTACGGGGGGCTCCCACACCACGTGGACAGCGGCTCTCCCGACTTGTAGAAATTCCCAAATCCGAAGTCTGAGAGACAAAGAAACAGACGATGACGTGATGGCGGAGGCAGCAGGGGTCTCGGTTTCGGAAGGCGTGCGAGCCAAAAGCACAGACACCCTCGCTGGGACACGGCCCCTCCCCCAGGACCCTGCTTCCTGGGCGTGGGGCGACCCTCCCGCTCACCGGCCAGCTTGATGTCCATGTTCCCGTCCAGCAGCAGGTTCTCGGTCTTGAGGTCCCGGTGCACGATGTGACGGCTGTGGCAGTACTCCACGGCCGACAGAATCTGCCAGAACTTCTTCCGGGCTTCATGCTCGCTCAGGTGCCCGTTGGAGGTCAAGTAATCTGAGGAGCGAAGAGAGCAACTTATAGCCCCCAAATCCGCAAGCATGGCTGTCGTCCAGGCCGTGACGGAGGGACGCTGTGCGGTGTCAAGGTGGGCAGACCCGAGGTGGGGGAGCTGACAAGTGGGCACCACTGGCTCTGAGCAGGTACTAAAAACGAGGGTGGCTTACCAAACATTTCTCCATTTTTCGCAAACTCAGTGACAATGTAAAGCATGTCCTTCGTTTCCATAACCTAAAAAAAAAACAATAAAGACCAAACGTTTAACCACACAAAAAGGGAACATACCGACGGTGTAAATAATCTACCCGAACCCCAGGGAACTGTTAACTCCTCCGGATGAGCGCACGCATTATTTTTGGAAAGGAAGGAAAAACTTGCGCAATAGAGAAGCAAATAAGGGGATTCCTATTGGAAAGAGAGTTTTTTAAAAATCAGAAGTGAATGCCTCATGAGCCGGCCTATCCTGATATGTCTTTGCTCTCGGTGAAGGTCTAAGGGTATCAGAATTCTCCTACCCTGTATTTCTAACTCACTTTGTCTCACACACCTGGGGACTCTGGAGGCTACAGAAGTAACAACAATGTTGAGAGTTCTGCTCAGGCTTTCTTCTAGAAGCCTAGCAGGCAACAGACTGTTCAAGCCAACGGCCAGCACCGCTGAATAATAGATAGCAAATACCCCATCCCCACGTGCGTTGGTAACATGATTAATTAGGCCACAAGAAGCCGGCTTTGCCAGGTGAGCTACGACGGTCCAGTCGGCTCTGTGTACACAAACCACTCAGCGTGTGTCCACGGCAACAGCCGGTGCCAAGTGCGCCCGAAAGCAGGGTCCCCAACCCTTCTGGTGTCACTGGCTTGCCCGCCGTGGGTGGATGGGTGGGGGGGGGGGGGCGTGAGATGGCCTGGGGTTTGGGGACCCCCTGCCTCGAAGTTTCCCTTAACTGATCGAGAACTTTATTTCACTTTGAAAAAAACATTTTAAAGAATTTAAAACCTAAGAAACACGGTAAAATTCAAATCTTTGGTACTGAAAGTAAAACTTGCTAATATCTGAATATTTAAAAATATATCAGAGGGAGACGGAGATAATATATTCTCATAGAAGAAAAAGGCTTCTTTGGGGTTCAAACTAGGGTTATTCCTGTAAAAAAGACACTTTAAAGACAACTGCTTTGAGCTGAAAATCTAGAAATGACCACCATGCAGGTCAGCTGGAAGTCTGACTGCTCTGGCCCTTGATGCGTGTAAGTCCACCCCTTTGCTCAATGAAAAAAAAAGTGACTTAGAAAAAATGAAGAGTGAATGGGTTTTAAGTTAAAAAAAAACAACAACAACAACGAAAAAAAAAAACCTCAAGGAAAGAGTTCAGCGTCTCACCAAGGCCCTGGGCCTGAGCCAGCTGGACGAAAACCAGATACCAGCGTCAGAACCAGGGTAAGCACACTAGCTGCCGCCCCGCACGGTGAAAGCAGCACACAGGGAAGGACGACAATTCACCCCAGAAAGGACCTCTAACTCGGGTCACGGGGGCAAGGCATCGCTAGCTGAGCTGGTCCACACAGGGGCCAGCGGGGGACAGGAGGGCAGGGAAGCCACGCTCTGGCTCATCCGTCCAGCTCAGTCAGAAACAGACAGGGGTCAGCCTACCCCTGCGGAAACAGGCCAGGCACGTTTCTCGGGCACTGACATCAGTGACCGGGAGGAAACTTCTTATCCAGACGGCAACTTACAAGTGACAACAGAAACAAAACATGAACACGATGTGCGCGCTGCTCTGAACAAAGATGAGTACACTGTCATTCTGGAAACGCAAGCCCCGGTGACTACTTCTCCCTTCATGTTAATTGAGCAAGGAGCCTTCCGTGGGGTGATTTCCGATGACAGTCCTACCTCCTGCCCACGGCACACCTAGCCCTGCTGACAGCACAAACACTCACACCAACCCCTGTTCATTCCAGACTCTCGGGGGCTCCTGCGCCTCAGCAGAAGGAACTTACGGCCAACACAACCGGACGACACAGTGAGCATGTGCAAAGAACTTGTTCTCCTGCACCAGGCTCGATTTCGTCTTTGCAGAAGTGGCCACTAAATAAGAGACTGCTCTGCTGTCCTAATTAAAGCAGCACTTACTTCCCAAAGATATAATTTATCAGTTTCAACAGGACAACAGAAACAAAGTCACCAAACAAACCAGGAGAGGGGCAGGGTGAGGCCCGTTCTGAACACGGATTAGAGGACAGACGGGCTCCTCGCTCTCCCGCGGAAGTGTTTTCGCCTCTCCAAGGGGAGAGCCGCGGCTGCGAGGAACACAGCCGCTCCCTGCTGCTGCTGCCGCTGCCTCTGCGCAGACGGGTTTACAAAACCAGGTGAGAGCAGTCGGTTTGCAAGTTTCATAATTCTCTGCAGAGGCAGAAGTTTCACTAGAATTTGTCCTCTTTCACTCAATGCTTGACTTGTGGCAACACACAGATCTGGGTGTTGGTCCTCACAGTAGAGTCAAGGCAACAAATTCCCCCCTCCACACATTTAAAACTGGAACAAATTATTTGATACTCAATAAAATTTCATGGGGCAAATCTCAATGATGACCCAAGAGCCAGAAAATAACTATCAATGCATCTTCACCCCTTACAGAAATCAGTCTGTCTACCCTGTACAAGCAACTCCCTGACTCCAACAAAAAACCACAGAGCAGCAGCCTTCAGAAACTGCAGGCTTAGGTTGCTGGAAATAAAGTCGAACACACTTGCCAGAAGTTACAGTGAAAGGCAAACTCCAGTCCTTCCCCTTACCTGATAAAGCTTTATGATATGGGGATGATTCAGAAGCTTCATGATCTGAACCTCTCGGTATATCTTCTCCAAATTGCTCGGATCTAGGCGTGTTTTATCGATTATTTTTATTGCTACCTACACATTTTTAAAAGAAAAAGGATATTTTTAAACAACCTCACTTAACCAAATATACACATTGCATGTTTTGCAGGTTAATTTCTAAAATACTTTATGTCCCCAAAAGGTCACAAAAAGTTAGGGTGGGGGGAGAGTAATTAAGTAATATTAACTTGAAACAGACAAAGTTAAATAATTGTCCTAAGTCTCTGCAGGCTGGCTTTGCAGGGCTTTAGCTCCGGAACCCAGAGCACTGCGCTCCTGGGTGATTTGATCATTATCCTCTTTGCTGTCCCCTAATATGTTCAAATTATGCAACCATAATACAAAACATTTTTTTTCTTTATCAAACTAAAAACTGTCAGCGTGTAGACCTTACTCGACGGACCCTACAGGCAGGAATCCCAACAGGCTGGCTGCCCCCAGGCAGGGTCCACCCCAGGGAGTGTTCGCCCCAAGCACCTGGGTTTTGGTGACTCGATGCCTGGCCAGCTTCACCACGGCGAAATTGCCTTTGCCCAGGGTCCGCTCGATGTCGTAAAAGCCCACCCGGAGGGGCTTCTGCTGACCCTGGCTCACGCCCGCTGGGGCCGCGCTGAACTCCGACATGATCACCATGGCTCCGGGCACCTGCGGACGCCGGGAGCGATCAGCGACCACCGCGATCCCACACCCGCCAGTCCCGCCGCCGGCGGTCGGCTCTGCTCTAGTCCCGCCAGACCCTCTTAGCTCCGCGGGAAGCTCAGACGCACTCCCACACTCGCCGCCCCCGCCGCCCGCGGTGGGCTCCACTCCTGTGCTCCCGGACGCCCTTAGCCCCGCAGGAAGCTCGGACCGTTCCTATACCCGTCCCCGGGCGCCCGCGGTCGGCTCTACCCCGAACCCTGTAGCGCTTCAGTCCCGTGGGGCATATACCCCGCTCCCTGCGGTCGGTTCCACTCCAGTCCCTGGGACACCCTTAGGTCCGCCGGGCGTGTGGACCCGCCCCCGCCGCCCCCCGCGCTCGACTCCTACCGAATCCCTCACCCCTCGGGCCGTGTACCCGCCGCCCGCGGTCGGTTCTGTTCCGAACCCCCAAGCCCCTCGCCCCGAAGGGTACGTGGATCCGCTTCCGCCGCCCCATAACAAAAGGGATGCGGCGGCTGCGGGGCAAGCGGCGTCCCGGCCCGACTTTCACGCGCGCACCCGCGGGGCCGCCGGAGACCCGAGCCCAGTCCCGCGGCGCCACCCCGGCCGCCGTCTCACCTCCGCCGCCTCCGGGACGCCGAGGCTGGGACGCCGCTCGCCCCGCGGCCCCCACCAACTACTTGGCCGCTCGTGCTGCTCTGGCGCCTGCTGCTCGGGTCGCCACAGCCACCGCTTGTACAGCCTGCCGGGCCGCGCAGCATGTCAGCTCTGAGTCCGCGCCGCGCACCCGGCCGCACGCGCCACCGCCCCGCCCAGGCCCCGCCCCTGGCCCCGCCCCGGCCCGCCTCCGTCGGCTCCGCCCCACCGCCGCGCTGGATTGATACAGTCCCATTGACGTCGCTTTGACGCCAGAACGACGCGCGGCTCAGCGCCAGGCGGAGGGAGAGCGGGAGATCGGGACGTTGCCAAGAGACAGGCGGCTCTGACGCGCGGGCTGATGGGGCCGTCGCCCTGGCGACCGCGGGGCAGTGACGTCAGGGGCGCCGGGCGCCGAGGGCCCGGGGAGGTCGGCCCGCGCCCGCGTTCCCGCCGGCGCGCGCCCCCTACCGGGCGCCGTGGACTCTGCAAACGGCTGAACCCTTGCGTACCAGCGTACCCTGCGCGCAGTGTTGCCGCGTGCTCGCGCGAGCGTGGCTGCGTTCTCGCCTGCCACCTCTTCTTGCACCCACCCAAAAGGTTTGGGTCTACGCCAGCTCCGAAACTGCGAAGTGCAGCACTTCTGGGTTCTTTTTGGACCCCTACTCCACAGTCCTGGTGGTTGAGGTCCTGGTCTCATGTATTCCCCAGTTTCCATCGGAAGTGCTTGGCCTTGCTGCCTCTATTGGGCAAAGTACCAGGTGAGGCTAGGGAAACCTCGAAGACTTGCAGAATGAGGCCATAAGGCAGTGCCAGGTCACAGCACTCCAACTCCCACTGAGGGGGCGGGGGTGGCGGGGAGCACGCCAGATCCTGGAGAAGGACCGCATACTGCTGGTACCTTATGCAGCATGGCAGCGATATATTCGAGGATCTTGGGGCTGCCCAACTTTGATTTTTCTTGTGTGCGAATCTCAGTTGTTCAGCGAGTTAGGAACAAGCACAAGAAAGCTGGTCAGCATCTCTGGCCAGTGATCGCGGGAGGTGAAGTCCTAAACGGGTGCTGGTGCTCCAGGCCCCAGGCCGGTGGAGTGGGTCCTCGCCCCACCTAAAGCGAGCCCTGCCCTTTCTCCATCAGATAGGCTCTCAGAGGCCAGCTGATCGCAGAGGAAGGTCTGGGTCCTTTATGATGGAGCTACTTTGATGAGGGGACCCAGCAAAATGGAGAGAAGAAAGGCCCAGAGGGCTGGTTTGGGGGCAGGGGGGCAGTGGAGGTCCAGGTAGAAATGGACTGGCTCACTGAGGTCTTCAGCTTCTCAGGTACCAGAGTAATGGGAAACGGGGTCTTCAACACCCTCAATTCAGCACATGGCGGCTCATTTCCATGTGTTCCTCTGACAATGTCCACCCAACACCACCTAGGTGCTCCCTACATAGACAGTGGAAGGACCCTGCCCTTGGGGAAGCGGCGTCCCAGGAGGGCCAATGAGCGCAGCCACCAGTGGCGAGGACTATTCCCCTTGGCGGCAGGGGGTGGGGGGCACATGGAAGGTTCTGAAGTGTCGGTTACTTTCGTGCGCTGCCTGGTCCGCCTCGCTGTTTTCCCAGAGCTGCAGGGGACCAGCGGGGCAGGAACTGTGCCCCTTAGGACTGAGGTGCCTGGTGGCCTCATCCCCACCTCCCGGGAGAGAATGAAAATAGCAGTGGGGGATATTTTACACTGGTATCGCTGCTCGCTTTTTGTTCTTTCCGCCTCATCACAGAATAAATGTTTTCTAAGGGAAGCCAGAGGGTATGGGTGATCAGAGTTTTTAAAACATTATTAGGAAGGCAGAAGTTTAGGATTTCAATTCTGCATCTGGCCTAATTTTCCTTTGTGTTCAATGAAAACACTACTTCACAGAAGGGGGTGGGGAGCAGAAGTCAAGTGAAACGGATACAGGACCGGGAAACCCGGCAGAGAGGGGAGGTGCGTGGGCAGCTGCCTGGAGACGCGGCTCCCCGGCCCAGCGCACGCGCAGGCTGGTCGGGCTTCGCCTGGTGAACGAAGGCTGGCCCACCAGACCCCCCCCATCACCCCCTCCCCGAGTGAAGGTTTGTGAGTCAGTTCGTTTGAAAAGGCCTTTCAAGGACAAGGACACTAATGGTCCCAGAGTTTTCCTCGTCTTTCCAAAGTGACCCTCGTTATCTGTCCCAGGTTTACCCGGAGAGGAGTGGGAGGAATGTTTTTCCTTCCTTCTAGCTGAATAGTTTACAACCGCTTTTGTCCCCTTCAGGGGGGAGAGCAAGAGAAAAAGTGAAGAAACCGCAGACCTGGATACCTACCCACCTGCTGTCTCTCATTCTGTGACTTCAGAGCTTTCCTCAGGTGTTACCCAGGAAACCGGCTTCTCTGCCCCTTCATACCCACCTGCCCCAGGGCTAGCCAGACTCTCTGGAAAGGTCTTAAGTGTTTGCAAACACTTGGCTGGCTGTTTGGAAACATTTTGTCATGGCTGAGTAAAAACTGCAGCCAAAGGGCTGAAGCTGCCTTCCCAGGAAGGGTCCCTGGACCCAGGTGCACTTGACCCTTGCTCCCAGCCCTTCCTGGACAGCCCTGCGTGGGCTGTGGCCCTCCCCAAACCTTTGGTGGGAGACTGCCCCTGGAGAATGCAGGCAGGGCAGAGGATGACGCTGACCTCAGAGTGGCTGTCATCTCTCCCAGGTACCCGGAGGTGCCTGGGGGCTCCTCCAGGCACCCCTCAGTATCTGGGGGTCTCTGCCTGAGTGTCTATGGCTCTTCATATCCATGGCCTCTGGAGGCGGTAATTCCTTCCAGAATCCTTTATTTCCTTTTAGATTTCTAGTCTCCACACACACACAGAAACAACAGCAGCAGCAGGTCCCTCTGCAGGCATAATCAAATGATTCAAAGAATTCTCCCCGTCCCGTAAAGGAAGATATGTACACTCTGAAGAAAGATCAGCCTCCCAGCAGCATCTTCAGTCCTCAGGGGTGACCCCGGTCCCTTCTGCCTCCTGAGGTATTTGCAGAGCTTGACGCAGACACGCTCAATAGACAAGTGCACAAACATCAGGGGATCAGAGTGCGTGGCCCGGGGCCCAGCAGGTGGGCCAGACGCGCTAACCCCAGGGGACGGCCCAGCTGTTCCCAGGCTAACTCAGGGGCCCAGGTGAACTGGCCAGCCAGGCACAGGCCAGCGGTTCGGCCTCCGATGGCATCGCCTCCTCCACCCCACTGCTCCGGGGTGCCTTTGCTCTGTGACTGCCTCGGCGATGCCCACATTCCTCAGTGCAGGCCCTCGGCAGGCTGGGAGAGAAGGAATCCAGGTCCCGGGACGTCGGGAGCAGGGTCGGACAGCCTGGGTGGGGGCAGAGGCCCTGAAGAGGCAGCCGTAGGGCAGGCAAGGCAGGACTCCAACATCTTCATCCCTGCAGAAACCTCGGATTCACGGACCACTGGTCCTTCCAACAGCAAGGGGCTAGGGTTTCTAGGTCCTACGTCTGTTTCTGTCACAGTGAGCTGTTCGGGTGGGGCTGATGGGGTTGCCCAATATTAGGGCAGGTCAGTGGAGGACACCGCACCTGGGGACCCACAGGCCTTAGGGTGTCCATCTCCCTAACCAGCGTCATAAAGGCAGTCGTCTAGGAAGCGGAAGGTGGGGGCACAGGATGGAGTGAGGTGAGCAGCTGTGAGTCAGCAAGAGCCCAAAATAGGGGTGTCGGTACTCTGTGGTGGGCTCCTTTAAGGAAAGCAGCATCAAAAACCTCATGGGGTGTGGTCACCTGTCCTGCTGGCACCCACAGAGTAAACCAGCTGAAAACGTCAGGTGGAAGTAGCCACATGCTCAAAAGCCAGAGTTCCCCACTGCTTTACTGGCAGACCCACAGTCAGGGAGAGAAGTTTTAGCTCCTTCCACGTTGCAGAGCAGAATCCCCTGGGTCGCTCTGGCTTCGTGCAGACTGGGGAACAAAGCCAAGAACCTCAGTGTGGGCTAGGCTGCCACCGCATCCTTTATTCTGGGCTTTCCACAGGGGCTGCATGGAGCACCCCGATTCCTCTGGGAGATCCGAGACTTCTGAGTGGTGCTTTTCATTTAAGTGCCTCCAGGGTGTCCACTGGCATCGGGCATAATATACACTTCTATCTTTTTTTATTGCTACTCAATCATTCAAAAAAGCATGCGAATTTCTACTCTTTGCAAGAACTTGGCAAACACCATGCCAGACGGTGGAAATGAGCATGAGACTGCTTTGAATTGTGACAGACGCACTAGTAGGGACAATGTGGGGAGGGAAGGCACAGGTCCTGAGATGGTGTGACGTGCCGAGAGAGTCGCCCACAGGACCCAGGCTCATAAAGCACCTACTGTGTGCCATGCACTGTTTGGGGTGTGAGCACAGTGGGAAGGAAACAGACACAATACCTCCTTCTCTTGAGGGTTGTCACCTGCTTAAGGAGACAGGCAGTGAAGCCATAGATGATGAACAAATGCTCTCAGAAGGCAGCGAGCGAGAGGGAGCAAATAATCAGGCCAGCAGAATAGAATGGTCTGGCAGGGAAAGTGGCCTTCGTGTGAGGACTCCTGACATTTCCACCGGAGAAAAGGCAGAGGGAGTGGCCGCAAGGCAGGAGGGGTGGGAGGAGGTGGCTGAGGGGAGGAGAGGGGAGCGGACATGGGAGCGAGACTGGCAGACACTGCCTGCTGGCTGCTCGGTGGCTGTGTGGTTTTTCTCCGGAGGTGCTTGGACAGGGTCGGTGTGGCATTGCAGGTGTCTGGGGCTTAGCCAGGGTCGGGGCGTTGCTGGGAGAGGATGATGATGGGGAAGAAGCTGTTAGAGTGTTGGCCTGGCAGAGGGTCTGGTCTGGAGTGTGGCTTCCAAGCTGGAGAAGGAGGGCGTGGGGTCGAGGCGTAGGAGGGGAGAGATGTCCACTGTGGGGGGCGGGGGAGGTCCTGGCACCTTCCAGATGGACCCCAGGCTCTTTCAGCGGCACTGAGTGGGAACAAAGTATTCTGCTCCCCCAGCAGAACATTCTCCTACAGATTAGTGTGTGCTTTTCCAGGCATCAAACTCAGGAGAAAATAAAGCAGTATGTGAGGATGGGAACCAAGAGCACGGGTGGTGCCCTCACTGGTCCCAAGTTTCCCATTGGTCTCTACCA